TGCTGCTGCTCAGGTAAGGAGGGCGCGGCCCGGCTAGGACGGCGCGGCTCGGCTAGGGCGGCGCGGCTCGGCTAGGGCGGCGCGGCTCGGCTGGGGCGGCGCGGCTCAGCTGGGTCGCGCGGTTCAGCTCGGGTCGCGCGGTGCAGCTGGGGTCGCGCTGTGCGGCTCGGCCGTAGAGGGGCGAGCGCGGGAGGGGCCGTTCGGGGGCCGGTCGGGGCTAGCGCGGGGCCATTTGGGGGCCGTAGGAGGCTAGCGCGGGGCCTTAAGGGGCCGTGAGAGGTTAGCGCGGGGGCCGCACGGGGTCGTTCGAGGCTAGCGCGGGGCCAATCGGGGCCGTAGGAGGCTAGCGCGGGGCCGTAGGTGGGCCGTGGGAGGCTAACGCGGGGCTACACGGGGCCGTTCGGGGCTAGCGCGGGGCCATAGGGGGCCGTGAGAGGCTAGCGCGGGGCCGACGCGGGGTCTTAAGACGGGGCCATGAGAGGCCGTAAGGGGCGACGCGAGGGGCCGTGAGGGGCCTGAAGGGGTAACGCTAGGAACGAGGCGCACGAGGGCGCGAGGAAAAGGCGGCGCACGAGGGCGCGGCTAGCGGAAACGGTGGGCCCTAACGTTCCGGTCCTAGGTGGAACCTAGGCTCGTAATACCATGTCAGAATGAGAAACAGGAATGTGTGTGACTAGCAAGAACAACAGTACAAATATGAAACCCTAAACTGGTGTACCCCCTATGGTGTGACCCACTACAGCCTAGAACCACACAAACATATAATGTTTGACACATACATGGCAGATATAATAGCATCAAAGTCTAGAGCATAGATGTCAATCCCCTTCTTTAGGAGATCAAGCCAGCGGGGCAGCTCAGTGGCCTGAGGGAACTGAACACGCCAAGCGTCGGTGAGACGAGAGAAGCAGCGCTGTGTGGCGTGCTGTCGTCCACACTGCTGACCAGTGCGGTCACCAGTGCGAATGACGTACGTGCAGCTAAGACCACCCCCACCCCCGTGCTGAGAGTACCACTCACGGACCTCCTGGGGCGAAGGAGTGTGCTGCTGGCCCTGGCCACCGCCAGCGCCTCCACGGCCACCACCACCGCTGCCACCTCCTCAACCACCCCAACCCCGGCCGCCGCCTCGTCCACCGCCACCCCAACTGCCGCCTCCACTCCTGCCGCCTCCCCCGCCGCTGCCGCCACCACCCCCACCGCTACCACTCGCCCCTCCAGCCGAGCCACCACCCCCACTGCCTCCACCGCCCCCACCGCCGCCTCCCCCGCCGTCACTGCCACCACCCTTGCCCCCTTTGCCCTTGCCGCTGTGGCGCCCGCTCGAGGCAGACGCAGCGCCGACCTTCTCAGCACCGAGAAGGTCGACAGCAGCAGCAGAGGCGACAGAGGGAAGAAGGGGGGAAGGAGAACACCCCTCAAAGAACGGGGTACGGGGGTCGCCACGAGAGGCACCTACAGCGTCTATGCTAGTCTCAGCTGCAAGTAGCTCCTTCTCGAGGAGGGCAATGGTGAGCTCAGTGGGGCAACGAGCTAGGAAGTGGTCCCTGACAGCACGAAGTGTGTCAGGGAGGCGGGTGACTAGGTGGTAGAGAGTGAGCCAGAGTGGAGGGGGGTGCGTGGTAAGGAACTCAGCAGGCATGGCGGCACGGAAGCGGGCCTCACTAGTGCGGAGGTGCGTGATGAGGTCAGCGACTGTGTGAAAGGAGGCCAGGTCGGGAAACAGGTAGGGGAGGGAGAGACGGCCTAGTGCGGCAGAGAGAGGTGAGGAGTAGCGAGCAACTACAGCTGTGTACAGTGCCTGTGCAGTCTTGTTCTGACCAAAGTGCTCGCGTTCGTCTATCGGCAGGGAATTGCGAATAGCAAAGCGAGCGTGGGCATCACGAGTCTACCACTGTGAGCGAGCAGTGCTGTCGGCAGTAGCAGCAGGGGCAGGGACATGGCCTAGGGCATGATCGTACAGTGAGATGTCATCCCTGGCTGTGAGCTGTAGGTAGAGGTGCAGGTCATCGAGCCAGGTGTCTAACTTCACAGGGCGGCCCTCAGCATCAAATACGAGAACCTGTGGGCTAGCCATAGGAGCAGTAGAAATAGCAGCAGTAGCAGTAGGAGAAGCAGGCGGGACGAACCAGTGAGGGCAGGGCGGCGCGGCTCGGTTCAGGTCGGGTCGCGCGGTTCGGCTGGGTCGCGCGGCTCGGGTCACGTGGCTCGGTGCGGTCGCGGGCTGTGGCGGGAACGGGCCGCCCGGGGCCTCTAGGAGCGGTGGGCACGGGTCGGCGAGGTCGGCACGGGGCCGGTTGGGACCCTAGAGGGGCGAGCGCGGGGCCGATCGGGGCCTGAGAGGGGCTAGCGCGGGGCCGACGGGGCTAGCCCGGGGCTAGCACGGGGCCGACGGGGCCTGAGAGGGGCTAGCGTGGGGCCGACGGGGCCTGAAACGGGGCCGACGGGGCCTGAAACGGGCTAGCGCGGGGCCGACGGGGCCTGAAACGGGGTCGACGGGGCCTGAAACGGGGCTAGCGCGGGGCCGATCGGGGTCTTAACGGGGCTAGCACGGGGCCGACGGGGCCTGAAAGGGGCTAGCGCGGGGCCAACGGGGCCTGAAAACGGGGCCGACGGGGCCTGAACGGGTCTAGCGCGGGGCCGATCGGGGCCTGAATGGGGCTAGCGCGGGGCCGACGGGGCCTGAGAGGGGCTAGCGCGGGGCCGACGGGGCCTGAAACGGGGCCGACGGGGCCTGAACGGGGCTAGCGCGGGGCCTGAACGGGGCCTTTAAGGAGCCGACGGGGCCTGAACGGGGCCGCTAGGGAGAGCGGGCGTGGGGCCGACGGGGCCTGAACGGGGCTAGCGCGGGGCCGTCAAGAGGGGCCTCCAGGGGCGTGACACGCCGAGGCACCCTAGGGCACAGGTAGGTAGGTAGGTAGGTAGTTACGTAGTGGTGGGCCCTTAGAAAATTTTGGTCCTAGGAAGGACCTGCTCTATACCATGTTGGAATAACTGAACAGGAATGAATGGACTAGCAGTGAAAACAGTACAAGTACCTAACCCTAGAATTGTGTACCCCCTATAGGCTAACCCACTGTAGCCTAAACTAACACAACATATATAATGTTTGACACGGGCTGCTCGCGGGCTACGCGCGACAAGACAAGGCAGGGCCGCGAGGCAGCATAAATCGATGCACCTAAGGGCGCATTTTAGGCAGAAAAAAGCAGAGAACGCGATTCGGGCAGGAACACGGAAGGTTTAACGGTGGGCCCTAAAAAAATTCGTCCTAGGCTAGGAACGTCCTAGCTCACAATACCATGTGAGAATAGTATGAAGGTATGATGAAGATTGGGGCAAGGAGGGGGATACAAAGAAGTGTCGAGCAAAATTGTGTACCCCCTAAGGCTAAACCCACTACAACCTAGATAACATTAAACATATAATTTGACACGCGGGACGTTGGAGAAAATTGGAGAACCTTCGGAGGAGAACAGGCTCATCGAAATGATGGTGAACGGCACAAACTTCCCATCCACGGCAAAGCATCACTGCAGCTGCACATAGGGGTGCTGAGGTGGAAGCCGACGTTGCCAATCACGAACATCAAGGGTTTAGATTTCATCTCGGGGTGAGATTTCTTGAAGCGGTTCAACCCCGAGATCGACTGGGTCAACCAAAAGGCGTGCATCTACAACAATGGGAAACGAGTGGAGCTACGAAGCTGGACGGATACAGGAGACGTTCCTGAAACCACACTGGCACACTTCGAACAGACGGTGAACGAGAGTAACACGGGTTACTTAACACTGGTGATGACAGCAGAAGAGGAGGAGAAGCCGAGCTCGGAGATACCTGCAGCAGTAAAAGGAGTCTTAAAGCTGTACAAAGACATCATGCCAGACAACCTACTTGCAGGAGTACCTCCAGCACGCACCCACGAGCACGAGATCGTAGAGGAACCAGGTGCGAAACCTGTCTCACGTGCACCATACCGCCTTAGTCCGACTGAACTAACGTACATGAAGAATCATATAGAGTATCTACTGGACAAACAACAGATCCGCCCATCCACCTCTCCCTATGGTGCATCAGTTCTCTTTACTCCAAAACCAGACGACATATTATGGATGTGCATCGACTACCGCGCACTGAACAAACAGACAGTAATGAACAATCATCACATACAGCGCATAGATGACCTACTGGACCAACTGCGCGGTGCAACAGTCTTTCGAAGCTGGACCTACGGTCGGGTTACTAGCAGATCAACTTGGCAGACAACTCGGTCCACAAGACGGCCTTCCGTACCAGATACGGCTCCTACGAATACTTGGTGATGCCGTTCGGACTCTGCAATGCACCAGCGACGTTCCAGGCGGAGATGAATCACATCTGTGAGGATCTAGGATCGAGCTCAAAAAAGAGAATGAGAATTGAGTCGAATTGAATGAATCACCTGGGTACAACACAAGGCTATATATAGGCTCGACACAAGGCCCCGTAACAGGTGTTACGCGAAGGTTCCACGGGCCGCGTGGCGTCCCGAACAGATCCTTACCGAATTCGGTAGAAGGCAATTCGGTGGCAACCGAAAAGCCAGAATTTGGTGCACGCAACCTAGCTCGGTGCTGTAACTATAATAAAATATAGGAAAGCACCTAGCCTCGGAAATTAAGCAATTCATGCATGCATATAATTATCGTATACTAGAAATAGCATTAAAAATTAAGGCAAGCAAGCATAGCTGGCATAAGCCGTCGTACTCTCACAACATCTTACGACCCCTATTGGACAAATGCATGGTGGTGTATCTGGACGACATTCTCATCTACTCCAAGAACAGAAAGAAGAACGTGTACCTACCGTGCTGCTGCTCTCCACCTCCGCTAACCCCCCCCTGCCATGTTTCCCTTTTCCTTTTCCCCCTTCCCTCGCTTGCCTCCGCTCTCTTCGCCCCACCCTAGGCCCGAGAGTGCTTCGCCTCAAGCCTCGACAAGTCCAAGCTATCAGGCCGAATGCTCGTGTGCAACCTCAAGACAAGGGACGTGCGAGAGGTAATGAGAGACACCACCACGGCTGCTCTCGGCGCCGCTGCCGTGCTGCTGCTCTCTGCCTCCACTTCCTCCGTGGCGCCGTCCCGCATACCCTATACAGACGTTCCCGCTATTTACTTGAACGCGGAGGATTCAGAGACTGTTCAACAGTACCTCAGCAAGGCAACCAAGTGAGTGGAGCAGCTTGTTGTGAAAACTCCCGAAGATGCTTTGATTTTGGTAATTTATTAATATCGCTATTATTATTATTATTATTATTTATATATTATCATTATGATTAATTCTAGTTTCTCAAATGCATCCTACAAGGTCCATGTCCCTCTCCCTCTCCCTCTCCCTCTCTCTGCCCCGCACACCTTTCGTCAACGCTGTCCCATCTACAGCCCGCTTCTCCATCGGCCTAGGAGCTTTCCTCCCTTACTTTCCGCGTGATAAAAGCTGGGTTGTGAGACGTCTCAAAACCCAGCATTTATCACTCGGCTATTCGTCCACACTGTCCCATCAACAGCCCGCTTCTCCATCGACTTTTGAGACGTCCGAAAATACGCTGTCCCATGAAGAGCCTAGGACACCCTAGGCTTCTCCATCGGTCGTTCACGTCTCTGTCGATGGAGAGGCCGATGGAAAGTGACAGGGAGAGACTTCCTTCTCTCATTTTCCGTTCACCTCTCATTTTCGGGCGATTTTAGGCGGGAGGCGGGCCCGTGGCGGGGTCTCGCCTCTTTCAATGCTAACCATCACCTTCCTCCTTTTCCTTCTTCACTCTCCCCCCTCCTCTCCCCTCCCTTCCCCTCCCAGTCCCGCCGCCTCCCTCTCGCCGCCCTTCACCACGTTCTCAGACGAAGCCCCATCAGTCGCCTACTTCTTCTCCACGAGCCCGCCCCTCAACGCCGCCTTCACAATCACCCCGCGCCTGCTCGCCTCAAACGACATCTTAAAGCCCGACATCATCGGCCCGGGGTTCCAGCTCTGGGCTGCTTCCAGTGGCCTCACACCCTCCTCTTTCTCTGAGCCGCCCGAATTCGCCTATCTTTTCGGGACCTCTATGGCCACACCGCATCTGGCCGGCATTGCTGCCCTGATCATGCAGAAGAATTCAAACTGATCGCTCGCCCAAATCGCATATGCAATCATGACCACCGCCTACACCACCAACTGGCTCGGCAACCCCATTCGTCGAACCACCAGCTCCGGCAAGAAGAGCTTTGGGAAAAATGTCGAAGCTACTCCGTGGGATATGGGGTCGGGTCATGTTGACCCCATTGTCAGAATCCCAACCACCAGACCATTGGGATAAAAGGGCTTGTTTCAGTAGCGGGTCAGTGCGCCCATAAACCCCCAGGCAAACGCACCTGTAACCCTCCCCAGGATCAATCGGGCATCCACAGTGCAGATCTACTGATACCCATGCAGGTATTGAACCCCGTTCTTACTTTTCACGTGGGTTACTAGGATTATGTAAATTTTCTCGTTGGGCGGAGCTTCTTTTACACCATGATGAATTTCCCGGGCGTCAGGGGAATCCAGCCGGTGAAAGCATTCAATCTCAACCGTCCGTCGATCTCCATCTCTCGGCTCTCGAGACCGGTGGTGGTAAGGCGTGTGGTGAATGTCAGAATAATATATAATTCTATATATTGTTCTATAACTGCGTGTAGTGTAGAATATTGTAGTCATATAACTTTCTCTTTGGTGGTGCACCTTTCATCATTCTTGCCTATTTGTACTGCTCGCTCTATAGTGAACAACCTCTCTTTCGTAGGCCAACTTTTTCCTTTTGACACTCTCGTTAACCCCCTTCCTAGCACCTAAGGTTTCCATGCCTCCTAGGTTCTAAAACTGTTTTAACAGTGAAGAATGTAGATGAAGTGCCAGAGACATATAAGGCGAGTGGAGTAGAAATAGGCGTCAATCAAATGAGCTTCAATATCAATCCCGGGCAGACACAGTTTTCGGTGCAGTTTCGGCCCAAGAGAAAGCCGGGCAAGGTGTTTAAATTTGGAAGCCTGGTGTGGCGCAGTAATGAGTCGCATATTGTGCGGATGGTTATTGCCATTAGAACCGTACCCGTGACTCAGTTTCTTAGCTAGGTGTTAGACTCTTTACCTTGTTTCTCAACGCCTTGTTGATTACATATTTTATCATTAAGCCATCAAGGAAAGACTGCACATTGCACAATCAACGGCTAGAATTTACAACGAATGGATCCAACATGGAACGTGGAGCAGATGTGCTTTCTCTTCCCATGGCATCAAGACTCGTGGGCAGTGGAGCGAGAGGGTATCTAGTCTCTTGGTGTTTAGAAAGCGCAGGCAAAAATAGAGGCGAGGATCAGCAGAGTCGAGTTTTGAGTCGACTCAAAACTTGGCGTCTAGAGGGCACTGGCAAAAACAGAGGCGAGGATCAGCAGAGCAGTGAAGAGACGCGAGACAGTAGCAGCTGGAGCTGTCATGGAAGAGAAAGGGGAATGAGAGTGAGGGGTTGAGAGATGGAAATGAAAGGGAGATGGGTTTTTTTACTCATGCAATCTGGACTAGAGAGCACAGGCAAGAGCAGAGGCAAAAACCAGCAGAGCAGTGAAGAGATGCGAGACAGAGGCAACGGCACTTGTCATGGAAGGGAAATGGGAACAAGGAGAGGAATGCATAGTGGAAAGGTGGTCACTGAATGTGTGGCTATGCAATGCAGTGAAGAGATGCAAGACAGTGACAAACGGCACCTGGCAATCAGAAACAAGGGGTGAAGAAATGGGAGTGAGGGGGAGGGGGAATGGAGTGAGGGGGAGGAAGGGAGGGAGGAATGGGAGAGAGGAAGAGGAGGAATGGGAGAGAGGAAGAGGACTGGGAGAGAGGAGGAATGGGAGAGAGGAGGAATGGGAGAGAGGAGGAGGAATGGGAGAGAGGAGGAATGGGAGAGAGGAGGAGGAATGGGAGAGAGGAGGAATGGGAGAGAGGAGGAGGAATGGGAGAGAGGAGGAATGGGAGTGACGAGGAGGAGGAATGAGAGTGAGGGGGAGGATGAATGGGAGTGAGGGGGAGGAGAAACGGGAGTGAGGGGGACGAGAAATGGGAGTGAAGGTGACGAGAAAGGTGAGAAAGGAGAGAAACAAAAAATAAGAACCTGGGGGCATGTAGATAAGTGGCTGCATGCATGATCGAATGTGTGGCACAGTGCTTGATGCAGGGAAGGATAAGCCAATTGTCAAAATTTGCGGGAGATAATTTATATCTCTTCACATAGTAATGCAAGTCTTCTCATTTCTAGCGAATTATCAAAACGCGTACCAGGCAGGGAGGAGTTGTTGCTTGGGAAGACAACCGCGTTGACGTAGAAATAATCCTTCTGCGGCTCGTCAATCATTGACACAGCAGACGCAGTTCCAGAAGTTGCGCCAGATGCAAGGGGGTCCGAACCGGAAATGAAACCAGTGTCGGTGCTGTTGTACTTGAAGTTCATGTTGTTGCTGTTGAACGCGGTCTTGAAAGACGTGCCTGTGGCGGTACACTGTACGTGAAGGGTCGGGGTGTAAGAAACAGACGAAAACGGAAGGTTTAAGAAGCAGATGGAATGACAACGAGAGCATATGGGAATCGAGCGGGAGAAAAAACAACACACCATCAGATACACATACTAACATCTACAATCACGTTCCGAAATTTCTTCTCACCAACGTACCGATGGTGGTTCACCAGCCTACCTGGCTATCCAGATTCAAGATCGTAACCCGAGAAGCCGCCGTGTGGAACAACATCAGGTTGTAGAGCGCGGTCCGCGCGGCCTCCCTGATCGGATGCGTCGTGAGCGTTTTGCACGATTTCGCCTTATCAGCGAGACGCGGCAGCTCAGTGTTGTTTATCATGGTCTTACTCCCCGCCCAGACAATCGCGTTCTTGATCCGATCGCTCGCGACCGCGTCGAGCGCTTTGTACAGCGCGCCGCTGCTGCGGCTCTTCTTGTACCCCTCGAGCGCGTCGCTCCACGCCTGATTCGTCGGCAGGAAAATCGTCGGCCCGGCCGGGAACTTGCACACTGAGTTCGCGAGGTAGTTAAGAATGTAAAACGACTTGGACACGTCCGCAAATTTAATCGTGTACGGAACCTTCATTCGCAGAGATCGCGGCGGAGAAGGCGGCGCTCGGGGCGCAGCCTGAGGCGACGCGGCTGCGATCACTTGCTCCAGAGTGTAGTCCTGCATGTAGTCGTCATCGTAATACTGGTCGACCGGCGCCAGTGGCGGCGGTGGCGCGCCAACCGCGGGTGCCCCGGCCCCTGCCCCGGCCCCCGCCGACGCGGGCGCCGCTACGGGCGCGGCGGCTTTCAGAACCCGACGGCTCGCATCTGCCATTTGAGTCGAATCTGCGAGCGTCGGCACGGCGGCGGTGGTGGCGAGGAGCAGGAGCGCGGCGGCGGAAGCCACGAGGGACATGAAGCGGCGAGTCGGCGTCACAACGGCCTAAGCGGCGGCGCCGATTCTGTTGGTACGAGCCATCAGCAGAAGATGAATGCCGCCGCGCGATAAATTCCCGCGAAAACGACGGGCCGCCGGGTGGCTCTCGCGACTGTCAGAATGTAATTGTATGCATTACTATAACTGCCTGAAGTGTAGACCTAGTGTAGTTATATCGCTTTCATGTTAGGTGGTGCACCCTTTTCCTTCACTATATCTTGTACAACATTCCATAGTGAAACTCCCATTTTCTCTCGACTTTCTCCTCTCCAACTTGCTCGATACTCAACTCACTCGATCTACTAGCTATGGCTCCTAAGCCTTCCTAGTCTTTTTTACATGTTATCAGAGTGACCAAGGTCCTGACCTGTGGGCCCACCCTAAAGCTTCCGCTGCTACTCTATGTTCGGCACGCCCCGTGGCGTGCCCCTTATCCTTTTTCTTAACGGCCCCATTGCCGCCCTTTCAGGCCCCTCGCGGCCCCTTTGCGGCCCTCCCGCCGCCCTTCGCTGCGGCCCCGTCGCCCTTCGCTGCGGCCCGCCCCCCTTCGCTGCGGCCCTTCGCTGCGCCCTTCCCTACTTGTTCCCCGCCGCTCTTCACTACGGCCCCGCCGCCCTTCGCTGCGGCCCCGCCACCCTTTGCTGCGGCCCCGCCACCCTTCGCTGCGGCCCCGCCACCCTTCGCTGCGGCCCCGCCGCCCCTCGCTGCGGCCCCGCCGCCCTTCGCTGCGGCCTCGCCGCCCTTCGCTGCGGCCCCGCCGCCCTTCGCTACGGCCCCGTCGCCCACCACGGCCCCGTCGCCCACCACGGCCCCGTCGCCGCCTAAATGCTGATCCTCGTCCTCAGGCAACAGTAAGCGCATTGAGTCGAATCAAGAGACAGCTGCGCCCACACTACGCAGCCCAACTCGCAGAGTATGGAGTGGAGATAGGGTGGTGTCAGAACATATAGCTTACTTGTTTCTGTAGGCTATAGTGGGGTATCCCATAGGGGGTACAACACAATTAGGGTTTCCTATTTGTATTCACTTCACTTCATAGTCATTCATTCTCGTTCTTTGATTTCACATGGAATCAGAGCAGGTTCCCTCCTAGGGACTGCTTCTAGGGCCCACCGAACCGCGCCCCGAGGCGCGTTTTTTTTAGCGACCCGTCGTGTCGCCCCTAGCGGCCCGTTGCGCCGCCCTTCCCCTAGCGGCTCCGCCGCCCTTCCCTAGCGGCCCCGCCGCCCTTCGATCGCGGCCCCGCCGCCCTCTGCTACGCGGCCCCGCCTCCCCCCTTCGATCGCGGCCCCCCCCCCGCCCTTCGATCGCGGCCCCGCCGCCCTCTGCTACGCGGCCCCGCCGCCCTCTGCCACGCGGCCCCGCCGCCCTCTGATACGCGGCCCCGCCGCCCTTCGATTGCGGCCCCGCCGCCCTCTGCTACGCGGCCCCGCCGCCCTCTGCTACGCGGCCCCGCCGCCCTCTGCTACGCGGCCCCGCCGCCCTCTGCTACGCGGCCCCGCCGCCCTCTGCTACGCGGCCCCGCCGCCCTTCGATCGCGGCCCCGCCGCCCTCTGCTACGCGACCCCGCCGCCCTCTGCTACGCGGCCCCGCCGCCCTCTGCTACGCGGCCCCGCCGCCCTCTTCGGTCGCGGCCCCGCCGCCCTTCGATCGCGGCCCCACCGCCCTCTGCTACGCGGCCCCGCCACCCTCAGCTACGCGGCCCCGCCGAGCCGCCCAGCAGCAGCCGAGCCGCCGCCGAGCTGCCGCCGCCTGAGCCGCCGCCCGGGCCACCTGAGCCGCCGCCCGAGCCGCCGCCGAGCCGCCGCTGAGCTGCAGCCGAGCCGCCGCCCGCGCAGCCCGAGCCGCCCGAGCCGCCCGAGCCGCCTAAGCCGCCCGAGCCGCCCGTGCCGCCCGAGCCGCCCGAGCCGCCCGAGCCGCCTGAGGAGCCGTGCTGCTGTTCCTGAGCTGTGTTCCTCTGCTGCTGACCTACCCGACTCTCCCAGCCCGGTGAGACTTTCAGCTGCTGCCATGGCCACCCCCAATGTTCTTACTTTTGACGCTGAGGGGAGGGCCATTGACTTTGCCGTCTGGATTGAAGACCTACAGCTGTACTTACTGTGTGATGCGATAGATGAGGTCTCTCTCTTTGACTTTGTCTCTGGCGCTGTCCCTACCCCACCTGCTGATGCTGACTCTGCCGTTCGCTCCAAGTGGGCGACCCGCGATGCTGCTGCACGTCTTGCTGTGCGTCGCCACCTCCCTTCCTCTGAGCGGGCCCACTTTAGTCAGTGCAAGACCGCTCAGGCCTTGTACGACGCTGTAGTTGCACGCTACTCCTCCCCTTCCTCCGCTACCCTTAGCCGCCTCATGCTACCGTTTCTCTTCCCTGACCTCGCTTCCTTTCCCACTGTCGCTGACCTCGTTACCCACCTCCGTGCTAGTGACACCCGCTACCGCGCTGCCCTTCCTGCTGAGTTCCGCGCTGCGAACCCTCCTCCCATGTACATCACTCTCTACTTTCTCGTCACCCGTCTCCCTGAGTCCCTTCGTGTCGTTAGGGACCAGTTTCTCTCTGTCTGTCCCACCACTCTCACTGTCGACCTCCTTGAGGAGTCCCTGCTAGCGGAGGAGGCGGTGGGAGCGGTGGGAGCGACGGTCCTGGTGGGGGAGGTGGCGGTGGAGACGGGGGTGGCGGTGGAGGCGGGGGTGGCGGTGGAGGCGGGGGTCGGAGTGGCTCGTCCCAGCGGAGCAGCTCTGGGGGTGGTCAGCGCCAGCAGCAGCAGCAGCAGCAGCCGCAGCAGCAGCCACAGCAGCAGCAGCGCTCTCGCACCGTCCTCGCCCCTCAGCAGCTCCGTGAGTGGTACTTGCAGCGTCAGCGTGGTGGTGCGCTTGGTCCCTGCCCCTACGTTCTTCGCACCGGTGACCGTGCAGGGGAGAGGTGTGGAGGCGCCCACACAGCCCGCCGCTGCTTTGGCCGCCTGACCGACGCCTGGCGTCAGCAGTTTCCGGAGGCCGCTGAGATCCCCCGCTGGGGAGAGCTGTCTAGGGCTGGTGTAGCTATTTATGATCTTGATTTTGATGCTATTCTCTCTGCTATGTATGTTGTGACTGGTAGTGATGAGGATGACTGTTACCGGTGTTTCCCGCCCGACCCGGGCATTGGTACTGCCGCGTCAGGTACTAGTGAGGCTGCTGCTCTAGGTGCCAGTGCGTCTGTGCTCTCAGGTGCTGGTGAGTCTGCCCTCTCAGGTACTGTGTCGGCTTCGGCCTCTCACACCTTCACCCTTGACTCTGGAGCGTCTCGCTCCTTCTTTAGGGACCGCACCACTCTCACGCCGCTGAGTCGGCCGGTTGCGGTGTCCCTGGCTGACCCCTCTGGGGGGCCTGTCCTGTCTCGCTTCTCCACTGTCCTCCCGTGTCCGGCGGCCCCCTCTGGCACCCTGACTGGTCTCTACCTCCCCTCGTTCTCGACGAACTTGGTGAGTGGTGCTGACCTCCAGGATGCGGGTGTCCACCAGTTCACCCCTGCTCGTCAGCGGGTGACCCACTGCACGGAGGCGGATACAGGTCGCCACCTGGCTACGTTTACACGTCGACCAGGGTCGAGCCTGTACACACTGACCACTGCTTCTCCTCCAGGTGCTACGTGTGGTACGGTCCCTTCGTCTGGTCAGGTGTTTGCTGCAGCGTCCAGGTCTGGTCCTGAGTCTGCCCCCTGCTCGTGTCGTCGTCTGTCTCACGAGACCCTCCTCTGGCACCACCGCCTTGGCCACCCCTCTCTGCTTCGGCTCAGAGGCATGGCCTCGCGAGTCCTTGTACCAGGTCCCCCCCCGGTAGTCCCCCTCCCCCCTCAGGGTCCTGCCCCTTCAGGTGTGTCCCAGGTAGACGCGGTCGAGCCTGTCGAGGTCACTGGTGACTCTGGTGCTGCTGCGGGAGCTGAGCCTGGGGGTGCGGAGTCTGGGGGTGCTGAGCCTGGGGGTGCTGAGCCTGGGGGTGCTGAGCCTGGGGGTGCTGCACCTGGGGGTGCTGTACCTGGGGGTGCTGAGCCCGGAGGTGCCGAGCCTGGGGGTGCTGTGCCTGGGGGTGCTGTGTCTGGGGGTGCTGAGCCTGGGGGTGCTGTGCCTGGGGGTGCTTCGTCTCGCCGGGAGCCACTCTCCCCACACGAGCTGCGTGAGTGGTTTGCCAGGCGCTGGAGGCGTGCTGCTGGTGCTGGTGGTTCTTCGGCTGCAGAGGGTACTGCTGCCGCGCGTCCTGCCGGTGCTCGTACTGTGGGTGCTGGAGCTGCTGGGTCTGAGAGTTCTCCTGGAGCTGGTACTGCTGAGGGTGTTGGCGCTGAGCCTGCCGTTGGCGGTCCGACTGACAGTGCTCCTGGTGCTGCTGCTGGAGGTTCTGGAGCTTCTGGTGGTGCTGCTGGAGGTGCTGCTGGAGTGGGTGCTCCTGCCGGGGCTGCTGGTGCTGTTCCTGCTGTTTCTAGTGTCGCCGCGCGGCCCCGACCGTACTTCGTTCCGCTCCTGCAGCAGGTTCTTGGTCTTCCACCTCCTCCTCCTCCTCCCTTAGAGGGTTCGCAGCCTGTCCGGTCACAGCCACAGCTACAGCCTGCCTCCCCTTTGCCTGCTCCTTCTCCCTACACTGGTCCGACCGGAGGTCTTACTGAGCGTCGTGAGCCTGCGTCTCGTCCTGTGTCGCCAATTCGTACTGAGCGCGCTAGTGGTCGCGGGTCGCGTCAGCGTCCTCCTCCTGTCCCTGGCACGCACCGGATGTCACTGCGTCCGTCCACTGCTCCTCTGCGTGCCCCTTTGCCTTCTCCTCCTGCTTCCTCTCTTCCTGCTCTTGCCGACCCGGAGTCGGACGCTCTTCGTGCTGCCAGTCCTACTGTCACGCGTCTCCTTGCTACTGCTGTCACTGACCCCTCCTTCGAGTCGTCTGCTGCGTCTGCCCTTGTCACTGAGCTTGTCGACTTTGCTGCGCGCTGTCGTCTAGACTACGCTCGCGGCACTTGGGTTTGCTCCTTCTACTGCCGACCCGTCGCTGTTTCTGCGCACCGACACCTCTCTGCCGCCGTTCTACATCCTCGTGTACGTCGACGACTTGGTCTTTGCCACAGCTGACACTGCTGGACTCGCCTACGTGAAGTCCGAGCTGCAGAAGAGACACACGTGCACTGACCTGGGTGAACTGCGCAGCTACCTTGGCTTGCAGATCACCCGGGACAGAGCACGCCGCACCATTACCCTGACTCAGTCACACATGGTGCAGCAGGTCCTTCAGCGCTTCGGCTTCACGTACTCCTCGCCTCAGGCCACTCCTCTGCCTACTCGCCACTCGCTCTCAGCTCTGCCTTCGGATGAGTCTGTAGAGTCGAGTGGCCCGTTTGCAGAGCTTGTTGGCTGCCTCATGTACCTGATGACCTGCACACGACCTGACCTCGCATACCCTCTTAGCATTCTCGCACGCTTTGTTGCTCCTGGGAGACACCGACCAGAGCACATGGCTGCAGCGAAGAGGGTGTTGCGCTACTTGTGCAGTACGTCGGGCATGGGGCTAGTGCTTGGAGGGCGCAGTCCAGTGGTCCTCACTGGGCACGCAGACGCTTCTTGGGCTGACGACCAGGCTACGCAGCGGTCGTCACAGGGTTACACCTTCAGCCTTGGTTCCGGCTCTGTCTCGTGGCGGGCTACCCGCTCGTCTTCTGTTCTCGGCTCCAGTTGTGAGGCTGAGATCTACGCTGGGGCTATGGCTGCACAGGAGTTACGCTGGCTCACCTACCTGCTGACCGACCTTGGAGAGCAGCCTCGTTGTCCTCCAGTCCTGTACGTAGACAACAAGGCCATGCTGGCCTTGTGTCGAGAGCAGCGACTGGAGCACAGAACGAAGCACATGGCTCTCCGCTACTTTCTTGCTCGTGAGCTACAGCAGCGTGGACAGTTGCGACTTGCGTACGTGGCCTCTGAGGCCAACACTGCTGATGTCTTCACCAAGGCACTTGCGCCTTGTGATCATCAGCGTTGTTGCACGCAGTTGGGTCTTGTGCCTGTCTTGCCTCACTTGCTCTCCTCTTGACCTTGCTTGTACCTTCGCCTATATATACTCTTGCTCTTGCTTGCTTGACTCTTGTATATCTCTATACATGATCTTGCATGTGAACTGGCCTTCTGGCCTTTGAACTTGTGCTCGGAATGCGTGGTGACTTTGTGATCCACCCTGAGCTTTGCTTTGCTTTGCTTGACTGGTCTTGTGACCCCTTGTTCTCCCCCACTTTGCCTATGGGGGTGTGTCAGAACATATAGCTTACTTATTTCTGTAGGCTATAGTGGGGTATCCCATAGGGGGTACAACACAATTAGGGTTTCCTATTTGTATTCACTTCACTTCATAGTCATTCATTCTCGTTCTTTGATTTCACAGGTGGGATATCTTATCCGTTTTGAGTCAACTGAACCCAAACCAAACACAGGTTTGGCGGCGATGCACAGTACACGTGCTGTTCAGAACTATGGAAGCAAGCCCGGCTGGCCAAGATCCACTGAAAGCTTGTACCGTAGTTCGCCCCTAAACCATGATTTGTGCCTCTGATTGACACGTGAGTATCTCTACAAGATACGTGAGCCTTTTCTGAACATTTACAGAACAACAGAAACTAAATATCATGGGAGTGTAAAGAAAGTTCCCTTTCCTTACTTCGCGTCCCCGTTCAGCGCGTACACCACTGTAGCACCACAGTCAGCACCGTTACCATTCGCAACCCTCGCATCGACAATCCTCCCACCACCTTCGCACGTCACACCCCGACCTCACGGCTCAGCGGGTAACCCGCGCTGCGGGCCTCCGCTTCGACATTTCCCCAAACCTCAGTCCCAGGCCCGTCGCGCGACAACCACAGTTCATTACCGTTACCACTGTAGTTTCGCTATATATTCTTCGCTCATGCCTTCGCTCGTTGTACGTTTGCTTCGATAGTGCAATCCTCGCTCGCTCACTCAATTGCACTCGTAATACTTGGTATCAAAGCCTACGATCTCTTCTCGGACCGCACCCACACCTTCGCTTCCTCACTATCTCAAATTTTGGGGGGGGGTAGACGTCCCTCAGCGACACAGCACCGCCGCTCGTAGTGCTCTCTCGTAAGCACGCACGGCTACGACAGGGGCTTTCACAGAGCTTGCCCGACACCCCCGCCATGGCCGAATTCACGCTTGCGACGTTGACGCAGGAGCAACTTGAACGTCTGGTCCACCAAGTTGAAGAATCGAGACAGGGACACGCATATACTTCATTTTGAAAGTAGAAACAGCTAGACTGATAGAATGAAAACCGCCTCAGTGAACTTGTCAAAAGTCAGTTCACCTCATCTGGGTAGATGCCAAATCCATGGGGACTTAGACTGCGTTCACAGCAAGTTCCCCCAAAGCGAACCGCGCTCAACAACAGTGCACAAATATTTGTGAAGCATGTGTTTTGGGTTGCTTCACGAAAGCTTGTCATGAATGAACGATCTTGAAGTCGACGGGGTTACATGCACCTTATTGGTTCTGATGATTCGCTCGAACTCGTTTAGGTGTGTATCCACATCCGCATGGCATGTGTAGTGGGTGTGGTCAGCTATAAAACTGCCATGCTGGACCCAAATACGGTATCTGCACGTTTTGGCCTCTTGGGGCTACTTCGCTTGGGGGAACTTGCTGTGAACGCCATCTTAGTGTAGGTACAGGTAAAGGTAACAATAATAATGAGAAATTAATATGTAAAATTTTTAAAGTTAAACTTCTAAAATTTTGAAGATTGTGATTCGACTAGAAGAGGAGTTTGCTGTAAAGGAGACAAACTCCTTTTCATTCCCGCAGGTCTCTCAGACCTGCCACCTAGTCTCATTTGCATTTTCAGATCTCCAATTTGCTTCCCTCCCACCCAATCCCCTTTTTGTAGTTACATAGAGTTTATGATACCCTATTTGAATACTCATTGTTATTGCTCATTTGAGTGTGCTGTACAAATGGGATTTGAAATGCTCTGACGACTGCACTGCACACTCCTCGGAGAGTCGTGTCACAATAAAAGTGGTATGTGTGGACATCTACAGGGATGCATTTACAAACCAATCTGGCCATCTACGGCCAAGGATGCACGCAGAAACCAGGGCTCTCGTTATCAGACCATTTTGGTCTAATGGTCTGATTTTCAGACTCATTTTTTTTATCCATCTGATTTTCCAATCTAGATCAGACAAAACAATTGTTTTGCCTGGGGGACCCGTCGGACAGAATCAGACGCCCTCAGATCCTAGCAAGAGAGCCCTGGTAGAAACCAACCCGACCATCTACGGCCAGGGATGCATGTAGAAACCGGCCTTTCTCAAGCCAGTCAGCAACCTCGTCGCATCCTCACGTGTGTGGATGAAATATTCCTCAGTCCACATAAATTCCGTCATGCTCGGATGGTGATAATGCACCTCGACAAACAGCTCGTCTACAATCGCTGCCATGCGGGGGTTGGAGATCCAGTGTTGCAGTATCTCCCACTCGTACCCCTCTATATCCATCTTCACCGCGAACGAGTCCTCCTCCTTTCAACTGCAGGTCCTCTAGCAACCACCTGGTCACATTCACCATGTTCTGGGACGGGGAGGGGGGGAGACGGGGGGGAGAGGGTTGGACAGCCAGTGCTGCAGTATCTCCCACTCGTACCCCTCTATATCCATCTTCACCACGACCGAGTCCTCCTCCTTCAACTGCAGGTCCTCTAGCAACCACCTGGTCACATTCACCATGTTCTGGGACGGGGAGGGGGGGAGACGGGGGGGGAGAGGGTTGGACAGCCAGTGCTGCAGTATCTCCCACTCGTACCCCTCTATACCCATCTTCACCACGACCGAGTCCTGCTCCTTCAACTGCAGGTCCTCCAGGAACCACCTGGTCACGTTCACCATGTTCTGGGAGGGGGAGGGGGGGAGAGGAAGGGAGGGAGAGAGGGGGGTAGGAGAGTAGGAGAGGGGGAGGGGAGTAGGAGAGGGGGGGAGGGGGGGGGTGGGGGGAGAGGGGGTGGGAAGAGGGGAGAGAGGGAAGAGTAAGTCTGAGTCCTCTTCCTTCAGCTTCAGGTCGTCCTGAAACCACCTCGTCACGTTGACCGTGTTCCGGGTGGGGCAGGGTGGGGAGGCACTGTTGAGAATTCTCAAAAGTGACTCCGGACGGGGCAGGGTGGGGAGGTAGGGGAGAGAGGAGAAAGGGGGAGAGGGATTGGGGCACGTCCTGAAACCACCTCGTTACGTTGACCGTGTTCCGAGCGGGGAAGGGTGGGGAGGCACTTTTGAGAATTCTCAAAAGTGACTCCGGGCGGGGCAGGTTGGGGAGGTAGGGGAGAGAGGAGAAAGGGGGAGAGGGATTGGGGCACGTCCTAAAATCACCTCGTTACGTTGACCGTGTTCCGAGCGGGAGTGGGGGAAGTGGGGAGAACAGGGACGGAGACGGGAGGTGGGAGGAGGAAAGGGATAGCACCTGGTCATGTTCACGGTGTTGTGGGAGGGCACAACGAGGAAGGAGGCAAAAATTAGCAGAGGGAAGAGCAGGGCAGAGGGGAAGAGCAGGGAAGAGGGGAACAAAACAGCAGGGCAGAGGGGAAGAGCAGGGCAGAGGGGAACAGAACAGCAGGGCAGAGGGGAAGAGCAGGGCAGAGGGGAACAGAACAGCAGGGCAGAGGGGAAGAGCAGGGCAGAGGGGAATAGAACAGCAGGGCAGAGGGGAACAGCAGGGCAGAGGGGAAGAGCAGCATTTGTGTCAAGACTTTGTCCAGCCAATGAGGCCTTCATCTCATCGCTCGTGAGCATCACCTCGCCAAGTCATTTGCTCATGACTGAGCCCAGCACCCTCATCCAGCACCCTCATCCAGCACCCTCATCCACCACCCTCATCCACCACCCTCATCCACCACCCTCATCCAAGAATGGGCAGGAAGAGAGCAGAAATGGGGGGGGAACAGAGCATGAAAGGGGGGGGGAAAGAGCAGAGAGAGGGGTGAACCGAGTAAGAAAGGGTGGAAAAGAGCAGAAAGAGGGGTAAACCGATCAGGAAAGGGGGGGGGAGGGAAGAGGAGAAAGAGGGGAGGACCGAGCATGAAAGGGGGGGAAAGAGCAGAAAGAGTGGTGAACCGAGGAAAAAAGTGGGGGAAAGAGCAGAAAGAGGGGTGAACCGAGCAGGAAAGGGAGGGGAAGAGCAGAAAGAGGGGTGAACCGAGAAGGAAAGGGGGGAAAAGAGCAGAAAGCCAGCAACGGGGGGACACGGCGCCTACAGAGCAAAACAGAAAGGCCCTGATTTGGCCTAATTCAGGTGCTCTTAAGCTTTCTTCTTTGAAATGTATTTACCTTCTTGTGGTTGTCTTTGGAGACACAAAGAAGCTGTAAGGATGAACGCGTAGTAGCAACCATTGTGGGAAGTCTAAAATCACTTATTGAGAATTCTCAATCGGAATCTCGTTTTCGCCTTCTTCTTACCTGCTCCCGGTTGTCTTCGGAAGAGACGTAGAAGTTGTAGGGATGAACGCGTTTCAGCAGCCATTGTGGGAAGTCTGCTGGGCCTTCGTGTGTCGGATGCAGGCGTGAATTCTGGCCCAAATCAGTTGCGAGTACCTAGAGCAGTTCAGAGTGATGCGGAAGGGTTTTGAGCGGTTGTAGAGGGGTAATCAGATTACTTTATTAGATACGTTAACCCTAAAGAATATGTGAATTTTCGGAGGATTATATGTATTTGACAAGGCAGGAGAGGTGAAACAGGGGGAAGGGGATTGAAGAAAGTGGGGGCCGGGTATGGGGTACAGGGGCTGGGCTAAACGAAACGATCTACGCGTGGGGATGCGTAATGTGGGGATGCGTAATGTGGGGATGCGTAACGTGGGGATGATGAAGACGTGGGTTGTTTCCTGATTGACAAGATTGCACGCCTTTATCCCCGTCTTACGCATCACAAAGGAACACAACAAAAATACTCTGGCAGAACCTATGCCGGCGCATTTTTGTATGAAAAACTTACAGCCGATGCATCCGTTCCCCACAGTTTGCCCTTACCTCCTCCTCCTCTCCCCTCATCCCCTCCAACCACTCCCTCCCCCCCACAAACCCAAATGTACCCCCTCGCCAAGCGTCTCTCCCAGCCCAGTTTGCTGTTCACGTGCCTTTCATACCCCTCCATTATTCATTTAGTTCCGTATTTATATGTACCGTATATCACACACCTTTGTTACTGATGCATTTGGCATTTGGAACACGCCCGGTTTTGCTTCCACCGCATGAACCTCGGTGAAATCGAGGGGATACATTTGGAGAAACCAGGTTACACTCGTGCTGAACGAAGCTGCTGGGACGAAAGAGCCTCGCGAGGACGACGCTGCAGCTGCACCTGGCCACTACCAAAAGCTCCCGAACTACCCACTCTAGGACGACTCCCACTACGACCACCCCGACAACCCCAATGAGCGTACCACTCACGAAGCTGGTGGGGCGTTAGGGTCGCATGTGGACGGCCCTGGAGCTGCATCTGGCCACGCCAGGAGTAGTAGTAGCAGCAGAAACAGCAGTAGCAGCAGTAGCAGCGGTAGCAGCAGCAGCAGCGGTAGCAGTAGTAACAGCAGTAGTAGCAGTAGCAGCAGTAGCAGCAGTAACAGGCGTAGCAGCAATAGCAACGGTAGTAGCGCGGGCAGGGAAGTGCTCACCTCTACACGTGCTGACCTGTGTTGACATGCGGAATTAGCGGAATGCTGTTCCGCTTCTGATTGACCTAGACTGACTTACGGCTGGTTTGTAGCCAGCTGGAGCTGACTCCATGAGCCCACTAGGAAGAGTATCGGTCCCGGGCCTCTCGAGGCGTACTTTGTACATAGTGTAAATTTGGCGCTGAAATCACGCCGAGGCTAATTTTGTGTTCGTTTGTGAAGCTTGGTTCCCCGAGTGTGACTCGCAAGACCCCGATACAGGTGCACGGGTACTGATTGCGCCTACAGATACCAAGCAATGGGTACCAATTGTCCATGGGTACTGATTGCTCCTAAGAGCGTGTCTGAAGTGAACGTCGACATTCCTCGACGAAACTTTGAGGGATGTCGAGGAATCCTGACGACTGGAACGCTCAATCCGAGGGTTGAGACTCACTGACTACCTCGACGAACTGTACATTCTTCGACGTTTCACTTGAGACACGATGTAAGGAATTATCTCGGCATTCCTTACGGAGCCGACTACATCGCGTACAGCAACAGCCGTTGTTCGCCCGTTACTGCTAACGGGACTTCGCTGACTTCGCGCGCACTGCTTTGCCAAACCTCGCACTGCTGGCATGGCCGTATCGGCCTACGCTTCGGGACTAGCCCGAGCCTCGCTCCAGCGTAGCACTAGCAAGCTCGCACGCACCGCGTTACCGTTTTGCATGTTTCGCGTATAAATGTTCGCTCATGCCTTCGCTCACATTTTGTACTCGTTTGACACCCTAGTGCAATTCTCGCTACTTCGATTCATTGCACCCGTAACACTTGGTTATCAGAGCCCCTTTCTTTCGGACCGCGCATCTCCGCACACCAGGAATTCAACTTTTGATTTTTCACTCGAAGGGACTCACGCACCTTAGCCCCTTGGAGCCGCTGTCCTCGCGTTCTCTCGTAAACGCGTGCAGCCACGACTGCGCCTAGACTAAGACGAGCCGACGCCCTTCGTCATGGCTTAGAATATCAACGTCACCACCCTCATGCAGGAGCGTTTGAACGATCTGCTGCGACAGCTGCGCGAAAGTTCCGAGGAAATCGCGGCATTGACGGCAGAACGCTCATCACTGCAAAATGACCTCACGAGGGCACAACAAGCACAATCTCAAGCACCTGGCACTCCGATTCAACCTGCACCCTCGACATCACAACACGGGAGTGTGGGGCAACCCGCGAGCGCGGCCAGTGATGGCGTCGTCCGCCCCGACGGGGACGATGACCACGGCACGACACACCCCGGAGCGACGCATGCGGCCCCAAGTCAGCCTCGCGTCACGATTTCGGCACCAACCCACGATTCGGGACAGCCGTCACCGAGGCCACTGAAGCCGCAGCGCCCGCCATGTTTTGACCCAAGTCAACGGGGTGGTCCTACCGTTCAGGCGTGGTTGTTCACGATGAATGTCTTCTTCGACGCCAACTACGTCTCGGAGGACTCGGCGAAGATTTGATACGCCGTGTCGCTGTTGCGAGGACCCGCCATGGACTGGTGGCGCGTCATCGTCACGAAGCCGACAGACTACGCGACACTACCGACACGGGAAGGACAAACCGGACCCTGGGCACCGGCGTATTTCGTGGAGGTGCCCCAGTATCGCACGTGGGATGCGTGGTGCGCAGGTTTGCGCGCTCGATTTGAGCCAATTGCGGCTTCGATCGCGGCGCGACAGAAGCTCCGCACTTGGCGCCAACTCGGTTCCGTCCAGGACTACACGAGCGGATTTCTGGCGCTATGCGAACAGGTGGGCTACATGCATGAGAGCGAGCGCATCGACCGCTACATCGGCGGCCTGATGCAGGATATCGCTCAGGAAATCCAGCTTCGCGGCGTCACCAAATTTCAGGAAATTCTCGCTATGGCGGAGAAGCTCGACTTCTTTCGCCGACCAAGACCGGGGTCCTACGGAAACAACAACTGGGGACATCGGCCTCGTGGGACGAACGAGAGCGCCACGATACGCGCCGTCGCCGCAAATGCCGCTGCCGCACCGTTCAAAGGGCGCTGCTTTGCGTGCAATCGGCCGGGACATCGCAAGAGTGAATGTCCGGAAAACGCTAAGGGAAAGGGGGAAGCTGAGCAGCAGACACAGACCAAGCAGCAGGGAAACGCTGGAAGTCAGTAGCAGACGGGCCCTCTACTGACAGGTCACGCCGCTCGCCCGACCCAACCGACCCTCACCGAGTGATTGTGCCGGTTCACGCAATCGACCACACCCGGCCGAATAAGGAGGGTACCACGGTAGACAGCCCTATACTGCTCAGTGGGAAAATTGGGACGGACTTAGTTAAAATCTTCGTAGATGGGGGAGCCAGCCACAGCCTCATTAACACTGCTACGGCACGAAAACTGCGACTGCCACTGGACAGATGCTTACCTGAGATCGACGCACGACTGATAGACGGCACGCCACTGGCAATACGGGAACGCGTAGACCGAGTTCGGATTCGATGTGGGGGTAACTTCACATTCAGCCAGGAAATGCTCGCAACGACCCTCGACGGAACCGACATTTTACTCGGGCGTGATTGGCTGCGACGACACAATCCGCGAATCGACTGGACGACGGGTGACTGCACCGTGCGAGTGAACGGTAACAACATCGCCTTACCTCGCTGGGGATCGCCTGAATCTTCGTCGGTGCGTGTCAATGTGATCACGATGAAACGCGCTGTAGCGGCCGGAGCTGACGTGTACGCGGTTGACATTCGAGAAGTCGACGCAGCAGACAAGGGAGGGGATTTACAGAAACTGCTGACCGACGTACCGAGTGATCTGGCAGCACTGCTAACACGATACAGTGACATTTTCCCGGATGACTTACCGACGGGACTGCCACCTCAGCGACCGCACGATCACAGGATAGAACTGGAACCGGGGGCACAGCCAACAGTACAGCGACAGTTCCGACTGACCCAACCCGAACTAGACGAACTAAGGAAGCAGCTCGATTACCTGCTCGAGAAAGAATTCATTCGCCCTAGCTCGTCGCCCTTCGCCGCACCAATACTGTTCACACCGAAAAAGGACGGGGGATTTCGCATGTGCATAGACTACAGAGCACTGAACAGGGTTACCATCAA